AGGAATTAGTTGGCACAAGCCAAATTGTCTCGAAACGAAGTTGGGTTGATAAGCGAAAAGGAAAATTTGATTCTTAGCAGGAGTAATTCGTGAAGAGATTAGTCTGGGTAGCAAAAAGGCTCTCCATACATCTTGAATTTCTTTGCTTTTGACAGCTTCTGAGAGAGACATGGTGAACCATGAGGGTCCATGAGTCCTTGAAGCAAAAGGCGCCATGGTCTCTTCGAATTTATGCCTCTTGGAGAAAATCATGATATATTTTTGAGAAGAGAACTTTGAAGTCGTCCTTATCATCGTTTGGGGTTAGTCTTCGCAGCCTAGTGCCTTCGATGATTCTATCTGCTATTTCTGGGTCTTGTTCAGCAATAGTATTGGCAGTTGATAGTGAAGGTTCGAACATGGCATTTAGCCATAACTGGAGTAACCAGAAAGGGCCAGCTAGCAGGATGTTCTTGGAGGTGTGGGATTTCAGACTCGAAACAGCTGACCTTAGACTTTCGTAAAGATCAACTAATAGCAGTTCGCTTAAACACACCCTTCGATTCTCATGCAAATCTCTAGCTAGAGGAATAAACCTACTGGCTACCTGTAGGGATCTGCTGCAAAAGACATACCTTGACAACCATAAGGTAAGGAAAGCAATGTGTTCCACATCCGACACACTGTCTCCTTCAGTGTGATAGTGGCTGATAAACTTTGAAAAGCTAGCTAGCTTGACTTCGAAGTCAATAATACTCGAATGCTCTTCATTGTCAGGAATATAGGTTTCTCCTATTCGTGATAACCCAGTAATGGCTGCTATGTCAAAAAAAGGTGGGTGTAATCATTCCACCAGGGAGATGGAAAGTATTGTAAGTACTGTCCCAAAAATATAGGGACGCGAATAACAATGGGTGGCTATAAGTAAAACCTGGTTTCGATAGTTTAATCAAGTTGTAAATGCCTAATTCTTCCCATTGATGGGATTTCTTAGCTTCTACTTTATTAAACCAGTTGTGATAAGCTGTGTCAGAGGTGGGACAAGATCGAAATGGTTTGAAGTTACTCTTTACATAATCTAGCACAAAAGGGTCCTTAGGGGAAATGATCGGATTTTCCACGGTGGTTGAATCAGAAGACTCTATTGTCTTAGGGGTATCCATTTTATTAAACAGAGGTTTGAAATTATAACAAACAGGGAAAATTTTTCTAGTGTCTTTTAAGATTTCAAAGACTGTAAGAGGGCCCATTAAAGCTAACCTCTTGCCAGCGGCGTTAGTAGGAATTAGTACCTGGGATGCATAAAGCATTTCCTTCTCTTTTGAGATCATCTGGGGAACAAGAACAGATTGACCTTGGTAGGTGCCAACCTTGCTTTCCATTATGGTTCCTGTGGTCTTTGCTTTCTTTTTTGAAGCCTTTTTTAGTTGAGATGAAGTTGAAGAAGACATTGTTGGAAGAATGTTGGAAGTTTAGGGTTTCGGTGAGAAAAGAGGAAGAAAAGATTCAGAATGTGGGAAGAAAAGAAAAGACTAAAGTTGATGGGTTTTTATAGTGTGGAAGTTTAAACATCCACTGAGTAAGATTGTGATACGTGGTAGTCGTGGGTTGGTTTGAGAAGGAGGTGGCGTAAAGTTAATATTGGTAATAGGCGTGATTAAAGATAATCATTGTTTTGTAACTGCACCATGCTGTGAAATGGTTCAAGGCGGTTAAGGAATCTGAAAAGCGTTGTGATTGACGTGACTAAAGTCATATGCAATAAATGTTACGATGATTCGAAGGTCGCATCAAAATCTTGTGTATATGTTTAAAATAAGTATTTCTCAAAGGAATCGAAATACATATTTTAAAGGGGCATTTTGTTGGCTGAAGATTTTGATGATATTATTAGAAGCGAAGCAAATTGGACGTTTCGATTGGAATAAAGCAAGATGTCATGTTTCGAAATGGTAGAAGCAGTGCTTCGAATGGGCATATCAAAGCTTGGAGCTTCGAATGACAGTTATGAGGATATATTCAAAGAAGTCTCGAAATGTTAACAAGGTTGTGTCCAAGCAATGCTTTCGAAGCGAAGAAATGCCAAAACATTTGAAATTCAAATGCAAGCGGGATGTTCGAAATTTGAAATATATGCGCTGGAGCATTCGAAGACGCGTGGAAGCTAGGGAGAGGCATTGCTCTGCATGTTCTGAACGTGGCAGAATCTTATAGCAAGACCGTTATGGTCGAAGTAGTATAAATAGAAGTCTTAGCATTAGGATTTCGTGTGTCATATCTATTGTACAAAAAAACTCAGTAAACATTCAAAATACCACATGGCTAGGGAAACGAATGCACGAGCAATGTACGTATGATAACACCAAGTGTTTATGATTTAATAAAAACTCTTTATCATTTCTAGTATTTTCCTTTATCTTCATGTCAATACCATTCAAAAGCTTTTGCATTAAAATGTTTTCATTCGAAGTCTTTTTACTGATGCCTTACATTTAAATACTTTCTTTCCATTTCAAATACTTTACATTTCAGAAACTGTTGTACATTTCATGCCTTTATCTTCAAGCTTTTATCATTCGAACACCTTTTTTCACTTAAAGTCATTTTACTGTTTTCTTGCATTTAAACGCTTTCTTCATATTTCGAATCTTTTACATTCCAGAGAATCTTTTACACTATATGTTTTTATGCTTCGAAGTCATTTACTTGTCTTTTATGCAGTTTTACATGTCTTTACAATTGAACTTTACTCATGCAATTTAGTTTCGCACACATTTACTTGATCACGCCTTTAGATCTTTAATAGAGTAATCGAAATAAGTCAAACACCCACATAACATTCTAAATACCAACCATGAATACCAGTTCTAAAATGAGAGTTACCCTAATGACCAATACATCCTAGGATCAATCTAGTCGATCCTGCGAGTTACCAGAGAGATTGAATAACAGTCAGTAAGATTATTCGATAGTTTGGAGGACTAGCGGTTGTTTACCAGAAATCACTATAAACACATGTCGAATGTGATGTCTTATGCAAGTTCTTTCGACATCATGATTTTGTACAGCTGGATTGTTGGTTATTTTAGTTTGTTACAAGTGGAGAATATTTTGTGAATATTATGTTATCCTATGTGGCACACAGTTTGAAGATTAAAAAGATTCAAGCTGATTTCAAGGAGAATTGTTAATTTTTAATTATAAAGATAATTTAGGAACTAATTATTGATGTCTTATCTTTGAGGAGATAATTCTGCGGCGCCTCTGTCATATTCAGCTGCATATGTGAAGCCCAAATTCAGTTTATTGAAGATTATAAATATAAAGTATCAACCCTAATACAAGTGTGGAACTTATTGTGTAATTTTATTAGGGTTTGTGTGTTAGTTATGAGCCTCTCGATTATCATCTTGATGAAAGAGTAGGACTTTATTTTTGAGTTGTAAGTTTTGTCAGTCATTCCAAAGCTTTTAAGCAGTGAATGATTGTGTGTCTTTGAAGTGTGACTTCTGTGTTTTTCTAAGTGTTTAGAATTGTTAAGTCACTGATTTGTGATTGGAAGGGATTTGAGAAGGGTCTCATACCTAGGTGAGTCTTAGGTAGAAGTTAAGCATGGGTAGTGATTAAGTGAGAAGTTGTAAAATGGGGAGTTTAGCTTCGAATTGATACTATTTTAGTTAACTTGATCCCTGACTTGGTAGCCCCCAAAGTAGGTTTTGTTGTACACCGAACTGAATCAACAATTCTATGTGTTCTTTATTTTTTTGCACTGTGTTTATCGTTTACCTTGTCATTATGTGTTTGTTCAGAGAAAGGTATTTTGACATCTTTTAGGACATCTGAGATCTGAATACCGAAATTTCACCAATGATTTTTCAAATTTCAAGAACACACTTTTAAACGTACCATTGCCTCTCTATATCCCCAGCTCTAAAATTTTGAAGGTCGTAATGACAAGAATGATGGAGATAGCCGCAAGTTTGAGTTGACAACAAAGGGAAGATACAATTCAACGAGTTTGAGTTAAAGAGTAGTGATGATTTAAGGGTTATGTACAATATATTTTTCTGTCAAAACAAAGGGTACGATTGAGGTGGATATGATGATTGCAAGATCGACGAAAGATATTCTAAAAATGTTGAAACGTCTTGAACCATCCATTTGTAATGAAATGTAATACTAAATTTATGTTAAGAATTATTATGTAATGTTAAGTATTTTGATGTTAATTTATGTTGTACTTTCAAAATTCTGTAATTGTTTATGAGGTGCCAAAACAAGACCTATTCTAAAGATGCATCTCCAAAATATATTTTGGACAAAATTGGAATGACTCACTAACAAATTGGTGAGGCGTGCATATTATGAGTGCATTTAGAGATGAATCTCTGAAATAAATTTTAGACAAAATTGAGGTGACTTGCTAACGATTTACTGAGGTGTGTATTACATATGCGTCCAGAGATGTATTTCCAGAATTCAACAGCATTAATGGTTTTTCTATAGGGTGTGCCATAGAGTGTACAAAGTAGCCCCTCAAATTAACAAAACAAAATAATTTTTGAAAAGTTATCAAACTTTATCAAAAGAAAAACTAGTGTAAGTCATTTAACTTAGTGTATGACTTATTTTCTTTAAACTTAATTATAAGTTAAATAACTAATTACACATGCATTAAAAATAATGCCTGTAACAAAAAAGATGCTTTGAACTTCAAAAATTATATTAATGCACACTAATGTTAAACGTTTGAAGAAGACTATGATCTTCTCCCTATATCATGCGAGTAAGAAACACAAAGTCTCAAGAGCTACATCCTTTTTCAAGTGTTCAATGAAATGTCTAAGAAAGTACTTTAATGTTTGCCAATATCTTTCAAAGATCAAAGTTCTGTATGCTATCACCTAACAAAACCCAGAATAAGTAATATCCAGAGGTATACTTGGAGAGAAAATAAACCTGTGTTACATTGTCCTCTTTTACATTTGTTTGTATGCACGAGTATTTCACTAGTTTTTGCTTTAGATTATCTCTGGTATTGGACTTGAGATTGGTTTCACCTCTAATCTAGAAGGAGAAGGCGAATTTCTGATGACCGGCAATTGTTCCAAAGTAGCCAAAACCTCAGACATTTGTGGTCTAAACTTGGCCTCACTAATACACTGTAATGCAAGAATTGCAGCTGTATAAGCTGCCCTTTGTGGATACTGCCCTTCTAATCTCGTGTCCATAATCCGAAACAATTTCCTTCTATCGCCCAAATACGGTCTCGCCCAATCTACCAGATTATGTTCCACTCCTGATTTTGTTTTATCGACCGCATTTCGGCCTGATAGTAGTTCTAGTAGCACAACTCCAAAGCTATAGACATCGCACCTTGTTGTCAGCCGACCTGATCAAAGATTTTTGTCATCACATTTGCAAGACAAAACACCATTTAACTATCTTGTTTGACAAGACACCATATGTATATACATGGAAAATGTAAATGCTAGAATCTATAAGCTAAAAGCATAGAAAACGAGGTACCTGATAAAAACCGTTTTTATTTATGAACTGAAAACATTAAATCTGTAAGTTTAAGAAAAAATCCAACCTGTAGCAATATATTCAGGAGCAGCATAGCCTTGAGTTCCCAGGACTTGAGTAGAAACATGAGAACGATCGCCAGTAGGCCCTGCTTTGGCCAATCCAAAGTCTGAGAGTTTCGCATTAAATTCCTGCATTGGTAATTAGCCACATTAAGATAGCAGAATTTTAGAAAATACTAAAGTTTACATGAACATTTAATCAGTAAATTCAAAGTCCACTGATCCGTTTGTTTTGTCTGAACCCTCCGGTTCTCAGGAGAAGGGAACCCTAGTAATCTAAAATCCGATCAGGAGATAGGTAAAGTCTAGTCAATGATTGTTCCAGTCAGAACTCAAACTCAAGTTCTCCAGCTTTAAAAAGTTTATACTTCGAACACTTTTGCAAGAAATTTCACAGTAGCACGGCATTGCTAATATTAACATACCGAGTCTAATAAAATATTAGAAGCCTTGAAATCACGGTAGATAATTTGTTGATTAGAGTCATGTAGAAAAGTGAGACCTCGAGCAGCACCAGTCGCAACTTTGATCCTTGTTGCCCAAGGAAGTAGTTGTGTGCCCTCTGCAATTAACAGTTCCATAGTTATTACTGCACAAATCAGAAACATATACAACCTACTAAAGGCATCAACATACTGCGAAATAGATGATTTTCTAAGCTTCCATTAGGCATGAACTCATAGACTAGAAGCCTGTTATCCCCATCTAGGCAATATCCAGTAAGTTTGACAAGATTTGGATGATGAAGTTGGCCAAGATAATTGAGTTCAGACTGTCAACAAAGAAAAAACTATAAGTATATATAACTCACGAGAAAATGAAACACACACTGTCAATATTAAATTGTTCTAAATTGACAAAGAATCACATCAGAGTCATCTTTGAGGACGTGCAAGACGGACTACTGCACAAAGCCCAAAATTTTTCACGTGGCTTAATAGAGCCTCATAAAATTTGTCACGGTTAAATAAAGTCTCTATTTGTTTTTCCATGGTTAAATTGCGACTAACCTACCCGCCTCCAAAAACTTGAGACAACTCTGAATCACATAACTAGTAATGTTTAAAAACTGGGAAACATAATGTGACAAATTAAAGAGCTGTGATTGAATAGAAAGAAAAACCTACCAGCCACTCTTTATGGCCTTGAAAACCTTCAGGCTTAAGTTTCTTGACAGCAACAGCAGTTCCAGCAGCAGGCTTTGCGGCTTTAAGCGATCGACCATCAATCCAGCCTTTATAAACGTAACCGAATCCTCCTTGTCCGATCAAACTATCATTACTGAAGTTTTTAGTGGCATTCCTAAGATCCTTAAATGTAAAGGCTTTTAAATGAGGAGAGGAAAGTATGTCCCCTTCCGATCTCGGAGTTGGTAGAATCTCAGGTTTACCACCTTCACTGTTTCCATTTGCTGATTGAACTAACAATTGAGTGCTTTTAAGATGAGCTTTTGTAACATATCAGAGACATAATAAAAAGATCGATTTAGTTCGAGAAAACGGTTTATGCATTACAAATTATTAAAAGCAGACACAATTAATCACAACCATTTTCTTCATCATAGATAACAAACACTAAGGCATTAATTATATGAAATAATTAATTACGGACACCATAAGCACGACACAGACACAATCTTAAAAATATCGCTATTGAATTGCATGCATACATTGATTGAAAAACAGACATGAAATATAATATGATATGTATTAGGGTGACAAGAAAAAGTACCTGAATTGGGTTGGGAGGTGAGAGGGACATCAACCTTGGAACGACTTCCAAAGCAATTTCCCATCATGAACCACCAACCAACCCGTTTTTGAGAATCTAACAAGAAAAAACTATGTATGAATATTGCATAATTCTCGACAATGTCCTTCTCCCGCGTTTCCAGAGAAGAACACCTTGCGTTCTATTGTTTTTGCGCATAATAATAAACCATAAACATTTCTCACAAACACTAAATATTTACAAAATACACCTTTTTTTTTTTTGGGTTGTTATGGGCTTCATATGATTTATATGAGTTACTTATTAATTTAAATAATAATATCCTTTTATAGGGTGGAATTTTAAAATATTTTAAAATTAATGCTACCCGGTCCACTCGAATTAGAAGTTAGCCTAAATGGATGAAAGGCTTTGTTTCAAAATAATATTGTTTTTCTAAATTATAAGTTTTTGTATTATTCTTTCAAGTGGATTTGGTCTAATAGTCCAATTCAATAGAGTTATGTTTTGTATTTAAAGAACTCTTAGCTTAATGATAGAGGAAGGAATTATTCATAATTTTATTTCGTTCTCTTGTTTTGTGTTTACTTCAATAGTAAAACACTAGATTTGATAGTAGCTGTTAAACTCTTTTTATCATTGGTGCTATTTTTTTATCATTGGTGCTATTTCATCTTGAATTCATGTTCCCCAAATCATTCCAACCTTTCCATCAAGAAATTATTGAACAAATTGTCTAAACATCTCACATTCATCTAGATAATGCCATTAATCAAACTCAAAAATAAATAAATAAAAGGTTTGACAAACAAGAATGAAAAATGATAAACAAATTGTTGATTCTCGCTATGAATCTATCATACCCACTCTTAACAAACTGTTCACTCAAAAGGAACAACATGTTGATGTTGCTGTTCACACCGATATTGTTCATGTTGCTGCTGTTCACTCAGCAACAACCTTTTCATGTATAACTCAACAACCTTTTTATATACCTTTGTGACTACAACACTCGTTTCTCATGTTATTTCTCCTATCCACACACCCCTATGACATTCAGCTCCATTTTCTCACACAACCACATAATCTACTGTCACATCAACTTTGAGACCCACCACTACATAGATTCCAACCACTTTCACAACCTACCTTTTTTCCCCAATAGCCTTTACACCTATCCAAAATTATAATATTTATTTTTCCCAACAAATTCCATACACCCAAATCCCACAAATCCCTCCATTACCCCCTTTTCGTACCTTTAAATTGGAACTAACTACATTTGATGGTTTAAACCCATTAGAGTGGTTATTTCAAATTGAACAGGTTTTTATTTTTTTTAACAATTACCACCTGAAAATAGATTATCCATGGTGTCTTTTTACATGGAAGGAGAAGCCTTATGTTGGTTTAAATAGATGCATCAAAACCAACAATTATTAGATTAGTCCTCCTTTACTAGGACTTTAGAATTACGCTTTGGACCTTCAACATATGAAATCACCAAGCTAAATTGTTTAAATTAAAATGAATGGTTCAGTTGTTGATTTATCTCATGAATCTATCCTAAATTCTAAATTGTTTTATTTCTGGCTTAGCACCAGAAATTCAGAATGAAATAATCATTCATAAACTAGTTACTATTTCTCAAGCTATTGGACTTGCTAAACTAATTGAATTCAAATTTCGTGATGCAAAACCTAAAGTCCAAAAACCTTATTCCACCTCATTTACCTGACCAAGCCCCAATCACATACTCCACCACAAACTATACCACCCCCAAACAACCATCTACATTCCAACCTTCAAAACTTCCCATCTGACGCCTATTCAATACATAAATGTAGGAGCATCATGCTCAAAGTTTGTGCTTCAACTGTGACGAAAAGTTTATTCCAGACCATAAATATTCTTTAGGAAAAATCCTTTTTCTTAATAATTGATGAGGAGGACCAACTTACACTAGACCAACCAGAAAACTAGGAGATAGACAACTTAAAACATGAATCTGATGATACTTACTTCCAACTATCCCCTCAAACTGTTAGTTGACATTTTTCTCTTAAGACTCTTAAATTCAAAGGCTTAATCAATGAACTAATAATAACAATCCTGATTGATAGTGGCAGTACTCACAATCCTAACCAAGCCAATCCCCAATGTTTCTGTCATAGTTGGTAATGGTTCAAAACTATTATGCTCAGTACGTCGTCCTCAAGTCCTAATCACACTACAAAACAATCTATTTTTCATCTCATTCCACCTACTTCCTATTGAAGGAATTGATGTTGTCCTTGGGATACAATAGTTGAAAACCCTTGTCCTCTCATGGTAGATTTTTCAATTCCTAAAATATCTTTCACCTATAACAACAATGACATCACAACTACTACTGGTGATCCCAAAACCCTCTCATCCTTATCTTCTTGTAATCACTTCTAGCATCTTTTACACACTAATTTTATTGCTCCCATTCATCTTCTACTCTACCGACCCACGCCAAAATAATTTTGATTCCATACCAACTTCACTTCCCAAAACAATCTCAACCACCCTTAAATCCTATGTTGATATCTTTAAACAACCCCAAGACCTACCTCCAACTAGACAACACCAACCCTTACTCTTGACCTACCTCCAACTAGACAACACCAACCCTTACTCTTCACCAGTGCTTTTGGTAAGCAAAAAATATAGTAGTTGGCATTTTTACATCAACTATAAAGCGCTTGTCATTGTTCGCGTTCGTTTCCCGATCCTTACCATAGATGAGCTTTTTGATGAAATTTTTCTAAAATCAATCTTCAATCTGGATATTGTCATACCCCAATTTTTGACCTAAGATCCCTGCTTCATCTGCATTATTTTATATACATCAAGGTCACAAAATATGGTAGGTTTCGAACGTTTCGCTTTCGAGCTTTGACCGTGTAGAGATTATCGAGTGTTGTGAGCATTTTATCTTATGAATGACTAACCACTAATCAAGCACGAAGTGTACATTTTGTTGTTTTGTTTTCATGTGAAGGAAATAGGTCTGAAAGAAGAACATCGGACGTCATACATAGATTAGGGTTTCGAGTCTCGGGGCAGAAATCCAGTCGGTTGTTAATTCCCAAAAGCTGATTCATCAAAAGAATTTCAGAGAATTGTGCATTTATTTCCACACTCTGTCCAACAGATGGTCTTCGGTTTCTCTGAATATTTCTTAAAAAGAACGGTCGAAGTTCTATTGTCTTTAGTTCATGTGTGTTTCACATTATTCTAAGATACAAGAAAAACCAGGCTACACCGTCATTTTTTATCTCTTCGACCAAAAGTCATCTGCAAATTTTCTCATAACGCGGGTTGAATTTCGCCAAAATGGGATGATTAAATTCAAAGTCGTTCTAGAAGGATTTATTTGGAATGTTTGGAATATTTGGAATATTTCTTTATTTGAATTCAAGTGATAATTAAAGAGGAGCTATCAAGAGATCTCATCCAAGAATAATCATTTATTGCATGAAATATTTATTCAAGATTATTTTTGTGATTATTTTGGTGGATTTACATCATGGTTATTTAAATACATGAAGCATTTATTCAAGAAGCTAGTGGGAAAAGGAATTCAATCCAATTAATCGGTCATCACAAGACTAATTACATGAGGAATTCTATTTGATTATAAAATTAATTCATGTGATTTATTTGGATCTCTATTGCAAAAATGCAAGATTAAAGTCTAAGACTTGCATTATTATTTATTCATCATTCAACAATTTATTCAAGTATTGTTCAACTCTTTCCCAATTCAAATGGAAGACCTTGAATTTTTATCAAGACATATCAAGATTCATGATCATATGAAGATTCAAGTTTATTTATAACTACCAAAGAAATTGAGAATATATTGAAGAATACATGTTTATTCATGTTACAATTTATTTGGACTTATTGTTACAAAGTTACAAAATAAAATACAAGTTTTGTACATGAAAATTAAACTATTATTCTTGCTACAAACAATCCCAATGCTGCCCATTTTTCCAGCACTATATTAATCCATAACAGTCCATTTTTTGAAGTGTAGTGATGTCCATTTTCTCCAACCTTGTTTCAACAAAGACCATGCCAAGCTGTTGTCCAAATCTGCCCTGCAAAACAGTCCAGAATGCAGCCCATAAGACAAAAATCTGCACATTTTGTTGTTACAAAAATAGTTTGCAAAGCTCCAAATATTGCACTAAAATGGGTACTTCAAAAAGCTATCCCATAAAACATCAAAACAGGGCCTAGAATTTGTTCAAACTTCTATTAGTTTCCCCCCCTAAAACCCCACACATTTCACTATAAATAGAGGCTTTCATCAACACAAAAGGAGGGAGAGAAGTCAAAAATTCAGCAGAAAAGAGAGAAGTCCAAAAATTCAGCAAGAGTAAAATACAGAAAAAGAGAATTTTGTTCAACAATCCAACAAGAGAGTGAAAATAGAAAAAGATAGTTTTGTTCTAAAATTCAATAGAGAGAAAAGCCAGAAGAACATAGCAAACTCAAAGAAAAGCTTACTATCTTTTAGAAACCCCATCAGAGAGGCTCCGATAGGTATTATTTTCTTCTTCCTCTCTATCTACTGCTGCATGTACTCATGTTTAAATCATTTTCTGCACCATTTTTCTTAGTCATACAATGTTTGCCTTATCATTCTTTTCTTTGTTGTATTGTATTTGATTGCTCATGAAGAGACCGCCGCTTGTCGTTTTCCAAAGATGTCAATAGCGCACAAGTTGCTCATGAAGAGATCGCCGCTTGTCGTTTTCCAAAGATGTCAATAACTTACAAGTTGCTCATGAAGAGACCGTCGCTTGTCGTTTTCCAAAGATGTCAATAACGCACAAGTTGCTCGTGAAGAGACCGCCACTTGTCGTTTTCCAAAGATGTTTTAGAAGAAAGTTGTGATAACACTGTCAGAGAATAAAATTCTTCTTCAAAGGGAACCATGAATTGATCCTTCCTAAGGAGATCAGATACTCAAATGCGCAAAATAAATGAACCATTCATCTAGGTTGCTTAGCCCGGAGAAAA